TTCTCAGCGTGCACACCATAAGCAGTGACCCATCAAAACAGATGTCATAATTTGAATGAAGGCTGTGAACAATTTTCCTTGTCTCAGTACGAAGTAACTGAATAGAATTGCTGCTTTTATGCAGGGAATAAACTTGTAGGCTCCATAGGTCTGGGCCAGTGAGGTCTCTCATGTTATGCCTGAGGCAAAAAGATGGAGAATTGGCACAATCAAGGAGGGAGCAAAAGAGCACTTCAGCAGAGGGAACAGCACGTGAGGGCCTTAAGGCCCTGTTCCCTCAGGCTGTGCCATCTAGAGTCATGGTTAGCGAGTAGGTAATAAGTTGCCTATGAATCTAGGTCAAGGAGGTAGTAAGGGCAGTGGCACAATGACAGCAGGGCATACCAGGGTAAGATGTAATCACAGTCACAGGAACGACAGAGCTTTATTTACAAAAGCAAGGGAGTTTGTTCCCGTAAAAGGATGCCATAAAAATCAAAATGCCGCTCCAGCGAGGAAGATAAGATAGCAACCTAACAGGTATGGTAGGGGCACAGCGGAAATCAGCAGCTTCACAGTGTATTCAGGGAGCCAGGTATGGCAGTTCACCCTTAGAACCTCAGCGTTCTCCAGCTGAGGCAGGTAAATCTGGAGTTCAAGGGCAGCCTGGGCCAGCCAGGGCTACACAGTAAAATCTTGTCTCAAAAACAAAAAGAGTCCAGCAGTGGTGGTGCACGCCTTTAATCCCAGCACCCAGGAGGCAGAGGCAAGTGGATCTCTGTGAGTTCAAGACCAGCCTGGTCTACAGAGCCAGTTCCAGGACAGCTAGGTTATTACACAGAGAAATCTTGTCTCAAAAAAAAAAAATAAGTAAAACAAAACAAAAAGAGAGAAAGAAAGAGAGAAAAGAAAAAAGAAAGAGAAAAGAATAAAAAGAAAAAAAAGAGTGATTGGGAGAGAGAATAGAGATCCTATTTTTAACTGATACTCATGCAAACATTCAAGTTTAACAAAAATAGCATTAGAAAGTGATAGAGAGAAACTATATGCATATTTGTGAGGCAGGCAGAAAAGAGTTAAGTTTGGGAGGACTGGATTCTTCCTTTATTTTCTTCTCTGTTTTCCAGCACTGAGTACTGACCCTAGGGACTCTTTCACAGAACTGGACCACTGAGCTACAGCACCAGAATTTTTATTTTTTGTTTTGAGCAAGGGCCTCACTAAGTTGCCCAGAGAGAACTTGTGATCCTCCTGTCTCATTCTTCTGACTACTGAGATAAGGACAGGGGTGAGACAATATGGCTGGCATGACATCTCCTTCCTTTATTTTATTTTATTTTATTTTATTTTGTATGTGAGTACTTTCCCTGCATGTATGTGTACCATGTGAGTGTTTGATGCCTGGCACTAGAATTACAGGCAGTTGTAAGACGCCATGTGTGCTGGAAATCACACCTGGGTTCTCTGAAAAGGTAACCTATAATCACAACACTGGGTGTGGTGGTCCTGGCCCACACAATCTCAGCACTCAGAAGCAGGCAGTCTTTGTAAGTTCGAGGCCAGCCTGATCACAGAGCAAGGTCCAGGACAGTCAGAGCTACATAGAAAGACCTTGTCCCAAGAAACAAAATGACATGCATGTACTACCGTATCAGTTCACAAAGCGTTGACTTAATAGTGAACCCTAGCCTTTCTGCAGGCTTGACAGGCTCCGCACCCACTGAGTGGCAGCCCCAGCCTCAGGTCAGGCTTTCATCCCCACCATTTCACCAAAAGTATTCTTGTTGGTTTTGTTTTGTTGTTGTTAGGTGTTGAGACAGGGTTTCTCTGTGTAGCCCTGGCTGTCCTTGAGCTCACTCTGTAGACCAGGTTAGCTTCAAACAGAGATCCACCTCTCCAGTGCTGGGATTAAATATGTGCGCCACAACTTCCTGGCTCTAAAAGGATTCTTATTAGAGTTACTAATGAACCCACGTTTCTTTTTGTTCTTTCTGGTCTTAGAGATAAGTTGCCTGAGTTGTTACAGGTTTCCCAGGCCTGCCTCAGTTTCCTCAGTAACTGGCAAGGTAGGTGTGTCCCACCATAGCTGAATACAACCTGCCTTTCTCCATTCAGTGGTCTTTTCTTTTTTGAGAGGGGTATGATTGGAACTGAGTACACACATGGTCTGTGCCTGTTCCACAATGGATCACTTAATACACAGCCCCCACTCCCCACTCCCAAGCCCCTTAACTTGCTCTCTTTTCCTTGTTTTATGAAGCACTTACCACCTTATTTATATGTTAACTAATATACATTATATGTTATTTTTAACTTTCTTTACTTCTCATATTAATTTCTAGTGTTTCCCTCCTTTCTAGAACGTAGGCATTTCCAAAGCAAGAATCTGTTGCTTGATCCCTGGGGTTCAGTAAGTGCCTGGTACTCAAAATTGCTGTTGATGGGGGCTGGAGAGATGGCTCAGCGGTTAAGAGCACTGGCTCCTCTTTCAGAGGATCTGGGTTCAATTTCCAGCACCCACATGGCAGCTCACAACTGTCTGTAACTCCAGTCCCAGGGAATCTGTCACCTTTACACCAACTCACATGAAATAAAGTTAAATAAAATTATAAAAAAAATCGCTGTTGAATGAATGACTGAATGAATGAATAAAATGTAGGTAACACCTTTTGTGAAAGCTGAATAACAGGTAAAGTTCACAATGGTCACCCTACAAATGTCAGGTCTCTATCTCCATTCTCCAAATATCTTCCTTAGTTACCTACTGTTCTGATCTCTCTTGAATTATTTATCGGTTTAGTTGGTTTTAAAATGAGGATATCACTATGTTGTCTAGATTGATCTTGAACAATACTTGGGCATAATTTATCCTACTAATATGCATTACCATTTGACTTTTCCTGAGCTCTAGTCTTCGTGTGTGTGTTTCAAGACAGGGTTTCTCTGTAGCTTTGGAACCTGTGCTGAAACTAGCTCTTGCAGACCAGGCTGGCCTCAAACTCACAGAAGATCCGCCTGACTCTGCTCCCAAGTGCTGGCATAAAAGACATGCACCACCACTGCCTGGTTATGTGTGTGTGTGTGTGTGTGTGTGTGTGTTTTCTGGGACACCAAATCAAGGGCCCCATGCATTCTAGGCAAGCAATTTACCCATGAGCTGGAGCCCCAGGCCCTAGTCTCAAAGGAGAGTTTAAATTTAGAAAAATCCTACAAAAGGCACCAGCTAGGGCTGGAGAGATGGCTCAGAGGTTAAGAGCGCCGACTGTTCTTCCAGAGGTCCTGAGTTCAATTCCCAGCAACCACATGGTGGCTCACAACCATCTGTAATAGGATCTGGTGCCCTCTTCTGGCCTGCAGCAGGGAAAACTGTATACATAATTAATAAATAAATCTTTAAAAAAAAAGAAAAAGAAAAGGCACCAGCTATCATCTAAGGAAAGAAAGCCCAGGTGATCAGCTATACAAATTATAACTGCTAAACCAGATGTGGTGGCCTAAACCTTTCATCTCAGCATATGGGAGGCAGAGGCAGACAGACCCCTGAGCTTGAGGCCAGGGTAGTCTACAGAGTGAGTTCCAGGGCAAGCCAGGGCTATACAGAGATACCCTGTCTCAGAAGAAGAAGAAGAAGAAGAAGAAGAAGAAGAAGAAGAAGAAGAAGAAGAAGAAGAGGAGGAGGAGGAGGAGGAGGAGGAGGAGGAGGAGGAGGAGGAGGAGGAGGAGGAGGAGGAGGAGGAGGAGGAGGAGGAGGAGGAGGAGGAGGAGGAGGGGGAGGGGGGGGGGGGGGGGGGGAGGGAAGGAAGGAAGGAAGGAAGGAAGGAAGAAGAAAGGAAGGAGGAAGGAAGTGAGTTACAACTTTTATCAAATTAGTAAATTGTCCTCCACAGAAACAGAATGGCCCGATGGATAGGTAAATGTACCTGTGGCTGCTGTTGGCAATTTGTTGCAAAGATTTAAAAAATTAACATAACAGATTTTCCCCCACATATAGACATATTTTGATTGTAATGGTTGACGAATTTTGACAAATTATTTGCTTTGATGAACGGCATTCCGATCACTTGGAATTATAGAGGTTGAAGCATTTAACCGAGATCCTGGTTATGAAAATGGAAAATAAGGAGTTCTTAGAAATAACCCAGTACGGACAGGTGGAGACAGGAAGGGCTGGTCTGAGATTTGTCCTGGGATCTCAAAGCAATAGGCTCTGTAGCTCTGAGATGCCTGGCTACTTCATTGCACTTTTAGGATTAGTGGCTACCACCCGTAATCCCAGCACTTGGAATCGTTAGTGAGTTCAGCAAGAGTGAATGACAAAGTGAATGAAACCCTGTCTACAACGAACAAACAAACGGGAGGGGAAAGTATTTTTTGAAGGAGCCAGCTGCTGGTTTAGTCACTTTCGCTTACTTTTATTATGTCACGAAGTGACAACTGGGATTGAGTTGTGGCTTTCTGCCCTGCAAATCTTTTCGCCACCAACTACGCCCCACATCTCCACCCACCGGTAGGTGAGGCTCCAGTCCCAGACAGCCAGCCTTCCAGGACTGCTGAGGCACCCACCCACCCACCAGACTTTACAACCTCTATTAAGTCCCAGTTAGAAACTGGATTGGGATTCGCCTCAACAGACGCAGCACCGCGGCTAAGAAAGGAAAAGCGCTGCACTTGGTCCCACTGAGGTCTGCCATTCTCTGTTCCTCTGGGTTCTTCGGGCTCAGGGCCTTGAGGGCATAAATGACTCAATCCACCTACCGACCAGTCTCTTCCCTCCCCGTGGGACTTAAACCCTCAAGTGGTTTCAGGTTCATTTTTTACTTAGAGACCGGGATTCTGAATCCAGAGTGGGGAAACTGAAGCAGAACCTGAGATTCTGCGTGACGGGTCAGACCCCGGAGGCAGACTCTCTACCCTTAGAAAAGCCAAAGACTACCCAAGCCAAACGAAGAAGAAACCACTTGGGTCCCGGCAGGCAGCTGGGGAGAACAAGGCACCGCCCACGCGGCTGGGGAAACTTTGGGGCGGTGCCGGGGGCGGGGTCATGGTGAAGGGCGGGACAGACCCGGACGGCGGGAGTGCCAGCCTAGGCTTGGGCGGCAGAAGTGGCAGAGGTGGCCCTTGCCCGTGGTCTCGTTCGTTTGTGCGCGACTTTGGCACCATGGAGGGGACCCAAGAAGCTCTGAGTGGGAAAATGCGGCTCCTTTTCACCCCTGCTGCTCGGACCAGCCTTATGATGCTTAGGCTCAACGAGGCGGCGCTACGGGCATTGCAAGAGTGTCAGCAGCAACAGGTGCGGTTGGCCCCCAACCCCTTCTTCCCTTCCCGACGAACCAGACCTCGGCCTCAGCCCGCTGCACTGGAGAAGGGAACGGGGAGGAGCGGCTTACGCAGGTTCCAACCTCTCCCACCTCTCCAAGTGAAGCCCGCCAGGCAGGTGTCCCCAGCCCGAACCGCTCCCCCTCTCCGCCCCCGCCCCATCCTGGGGACTTTGCTTCCTTTGTGCTCAACTGGTGCTTGGACTCTTCCCGCAGGTACGGCCTGTGATCGCTTTCCAAGGCCACCGAGGGGTAAGTGCGGGCCGGATGTGTGAGGAAGCTCTGGTGGGTGAGGGAGCCTAAGCGTGGGCTCTGGGAAGGTGCGCTCCGGACCGTAAGCTCGCCAGTGGTCACGGTCTGTGGAAGTTATAGAACTGAACCCTAAGACGGTGAGGGGCTGATGGGGCTGTGTCCCAGGAGGCTGTGCATTCTCAGTCTCTTGGGGGAACTCTGACCCAGCTGCACCTGGTGTGCTAACGAGCCCCTTGGGATCTGTCTTCAGTCTTAGAGTTGTTTGGGGAGGAGTGACATGGGGAGAAGGGGCCGACTTAGCGGGGCTTACCATCTCCTTCTACCCCAGTATCTAAGGCTTCCAGGCCCTGGATGGTCCTGCCTCTTCTCCTTCATAGTATCCCAGTGTGGCCAAGAGGGCACTAGTGGCGGCTTGGATCTTGTGTACCAACGTTTAGGCAGGTAAGAGAAAACAGACAACAGTTAAGAGAAGTTTGCAGAAAGTAGAAGGGGAATGTGAAGAAGGGTTCAAAAGATCTTCAACTTTTTTTTGTTTTCCCCACCACTTATTTCCAGATCTGGGCCGAACTGTCTCCACTGCCTGGGCTCACCGAGAGAGCGACTCACTATTTGGGCAGCCATGGATACTATCCCAGCCCCACTGTTAGCTCATGAACACCTGACTGAAGATCCCAGAGAGTCCGAGAGTTGGCAGGACACTGGAGATGCTCCTGAAGGCCATCCCCAGATGGCACTAGAAGAGGTGAGACCAGAAACAGCGGGGAGTCAGCATAAGGTGGGGCACCCAGGTCCAGGGAGCCAAGTGCTCCTGTAACTTCCTCTGACAGGTATCTGACCCACTGGCAAGCAACCACGGACAGTCACTCCCAGGATCCTCCAGTGAGCCCATGGCACAATGGGAAGTGAGGTACTGTGCTAGGCTGGGTCTGCTCTCCACCCTTACATGCTAAGTAAAATATAGGCTCGTGTCTCACCCCGGTCTCTCCCGCTCCTTCCAAAAATTCTAGGAACCACACCTATCTTCCAAACAGAGAGCCGGACCAACCACCGTCTTCCCCTGCCAACCTGAAACGCCTGGACAAGGTGAGCAAGAACTTTGTTCCCCTTTTGGAGACTGGATCTCACTGTGTAGCCCTGGTAGGCCTGGAACTCCTTATGCAGAACAGGCTGACCTCAAATTCAGATTCACCTGTCCCTGCTTTCTGAGTGCTGAGATTAAAGGCACGCACCGACATGTCCAGAGAGGCAGGAGCTTTTCAAAGCGTAGTTTAAAGGGCTAGGGATGTAGTTTGGTGGATGCAGTACTGGTACAGCATTGCTACAAGAGAGGTCTCCAGAGACAGGAGAATCAGTTCAAGGCCATGCTTTGTTACCCAGCATAGTGAGTTTGAGGCTAGCCTGGACTAACAACCTAAGGCCTGGTCTTAAAAAAGCCAAAAAACAAAACAAACAAAAAAGGCAGGCTGGGGAGATGATAGCTTATCAAGTGCATTTGCTGTGCGAGCATAAGGACTGGACTGAGTCCGAATCCCCAGCGCCTATGTAAAAGGCAGGCAATGCTTCCTGTGCCTGTAACTCTAGCACTCGGGGAATGGGACAGGTACTTGCTGGCCAGCCAACCTGGGAAAAAGAGCTTTATGCTTAGTAAGAGAATAAGGAAAAAATGGACAGAGGAGGACACCCCATGTCTTCCATGGGGTGCATACCAGCAAATATACAAGAGCACAAAAAATACTTTTTTTTTTTTTAGAGATAGGGTTTCTCTGTATAACTCTGGCTGTCCTTGAAAACCCTCTGTAGACTTGGCTGGCCTTGAACTCACAGAGATCTGCCTGCCTCCCAATGGCTGGGGATTAAAGGAATGAGTCACACTCGCCCAGCTCAAAAATACTTTCTTAGTTAGGTAAAACTTAAAATTTAGGAGCTGATGAAATAGTTTTTAGCAAAAGAGTAAGAACCTCCTAGCTTGCTGTTTATGTCACACATTTCTTTTCAACAGAAACGTTCAGCACCTATAACCACTGAAGAACCAGAGGAAAAGAGGCTCAGAGCTTTGCCTCCTGCCCCAAGTCCACAAGGGCTATCAAATCAGGACTCCCAAGAGGGAGGAAACTGGGTGCAAGATGAAGATGGAGATTCCACGCTGGAGCAGAGTCTCTCGGATCAAGCAGGTGAGTTAATGAGAGGAGGATAAACACCAGTGGGGGAAAAAAAAGACCCATAATTACTTGTTCTCTCACTTCCTTCCTAGCCTCTGAATCCCCAAGCCCCAAGGAGGTACCAGATTATCTCCTGTAAGTTCCTCACCCTTCCAGTTTCATAAAGTCTGTACATGTAAGCAGCCAAGGTTTGGGGGGCAATGAAATTGAGGGTGTCACCTCCCTGATAGGCAATACGGAGCCATCCACAGCACAGAGCAGCAACAGGCCTACGAGCAGGACTTTGAGACAGACTACGCTGAATACCGTATTCTGCATGCCCGTGTTGGGGCTGCCAGCCAAAGGTTCACAGAGCTGGGGGCGGAGATCAAGAGACTTGAGCGAGGAACCCCAGAACACAAGGTAAAGGCAGGGTTCTACTTGACTGGCCGTTATCTTCCTGCCAATTGCCCCAAACATGCATGTTTGCTGACAAGCAAACTTCCTATAATATTTGGCAGAATAAAACCGTAAGTTATTCCCACTTCTTACTTTTTCCTCTTTTCCCTTTCCCCAGTTTTCAATCAATGTCATTTTTCTTTCAGGTGCTAGAAGATAAAATAGTCCAGGAGTATAGAAAGTTCAGGAAGGTAAGACAGGCTGCAAGCAGTAAGCAGGAAGGTGGAAGCCGCTTTCCTTTTTACAAGAGTGTTTCTCTCTGCAGCGGTATCCAAGCTACCAAGAGGAGAAGCATCGCTGTGAGTACCTGCATCAGAAATTGTCCCACATTAAAGGTCTCATCCTGGAGTTTGAGGAAAAGAACAGGGGCAGCTGAAACCATGCAGAGGCCTTTCGAGCCTGTGCCCAGTGATGAAGAACACAGCTCTAAGGTGGAGCAGCAGCACATCTGCTTTTCTGATTTTGACCCTTCCATCCAAGGTGGCAAGCAGAGAGTCATGCTAGGTTCTTGCAGTTTGGTTTTTGTTATTGCCGTTAATTTTGTAGGGTGTGGGCATGGAGTCAAGTCTCCTCAGCTGTGCCCAGGAGACTAGAAAAGTAGCAGACGCTTGGCTTCCTCAGCTCTACTTCAGCTAAGTCATTTTCAGATCCTGAAAAATGACATTTCCAGATCGACACACACTTTGAGAATATTAGACAAGTGAGTTTAGCTAAGTGGCCTTGCAGGAAGAAAATGAGAACTTCTGGTGTCATAGCATACCTCGATGTAAGGGAAAGGGCTTGGCATTACTCACGTACTGTAACATGGCTGAAAATGAAAACCAATTGCTTCTGTCCTGTGTGATCATTAATCTTAATCATCCAATGTGTGCTGTGTATGTGACTTTCTCTGAGGCTGAAAGACTGAATCCCCATGTTCCAGCCCAAGCGTTATGGTCATCTTTACTGTGCTAGATACATGCTCCTCCACTAAACAACACTACCTTCCCCCACCCCAACATGTTCTTAAATCATTATGTAAGATCCAGATGTGCATTTTGTTATCAGGCCCTATCAGAAAGTCACAGGGAATTAAGGCTATATATCTAGAATTATGAGGAAGAGACCTAGTCAGTCATCCTCATCAACTTAGACTATGAAATCCAATATGGACAAGTTCCACAGAGCCGCCATATACGGGCTGCCGATGCATGCTTCACCACAGCCAGGGCATACATTTCATTCAATTTCATCTAGAATTACCCTGGGCTGAAAGCTATAATTATGGACAAGAGTCTGATTTAGCTACAAAGAGGGTCCATATTTTAATCCATTCAAAAGAATACATCTTGTAGGCTCTTGTTCTTGCCAGTGATATATGTTTCCGTTTTACTGGAACGAAATTTAATGGCAATACCCAAAGATCTGGGGAGAGATACACCCAGCAGTATCACTATTCTTCAAACTGAATGGAACCCCATACTGATGTCACACTGGCACGGGGCATTTCTGGGCAGGAGGTATGAACATGCAGAAAGCTTGGCTCTGTGGCAAAGATAAGCAGTTATCCATCTTCAAGACAGGAATAAAGGCAAAACAACTGTAATCTTAGTACCTGGGGGCTGAGCAGGGTAGACTGTCCTAAGTTAAAGGCCAGCCTTGGCTACAGGAGATTGAGAAATTAAGATTTAGAGATGGTAACTGGACCTAGTCAGTCTGAGGTTACAGGGATCAGTGTAGCGTACTATGATGCCTTAAATTTTTTTTTTAAACATTTATTTATTATGTATACAATATTCTGTCTGTGTGTATGCCAGGCCAGAAGAGGGCGTCAGACCTCATTACAGATGGTTGTGAGCCACCATGTGGTTGCTGGGAATTGAACTCAGGACCTTTGGAAGAGCAGGCAATGCTCTTAACCACCAAGCCATCTCTCCAGCCCCCGATGCCTTAAACTTTTTTCCAGATAGTTTAAGATGCTAGCCTTAAACCTGCTACACAGCCAAGGATGACCCTGTAGTGTTTGGATTACAGGTGTGTGTCAATATGTCTGCCTTAGCTACAAGTACTGAACAGTATGGATCAACAGATGAAATATTTCTGTCACCAATGAAAGCTCTATAGTAACAGTTTAGAGACCCTGATTCTCCATTCCATGAGGGGAAAAAGCCAACAGTATAAAGGGGGCACATTTATTGTCACTTCCAAATGTACAAAAAAAATTAGAAAATAACCCCCAACTCAATTCCCCCTCCCACCCCCACAACATTCTTCCCAACACAAATAATTTTCTCCCCAAACCACAAACATAAACTGGTCCTGGTATTTTCATAAACAGTGCAGCTAAGAAACAGTTTAGAGAAAATTGAGCAGGATTCAGAGTATATCCATTCTGTCCTCTCCTATAGTTCTGCCATCTCTGGTGTCAGAGTCCTTTTACAAAGTGGTGCATTTGGCTGTTGCTTTAGAGGTCCTCTTGTGCCTTCTTCTTCTTTTTGGGTTTTTCCTCTTGAATTATAGGGGGATTTGTAGCTTCTCGTTGTAGATAGCTAATAAAATCATTTAATTCACGGCCACCCTGAGAAAAAAAAGGTTATTTTAATTTTTTAAAGAACTCTAGTTAAGAGCCAGTTGGATGGCTTACTGGAATTTGACTCCCAGATCCCAAATGGTAGAACTCCTCAAAGCTGTCCTCTGACTTTCACATACATATCTATTGCCACAAATAAAATGTAAATAAATAGGCCAATAAAACAACTAGGCATGGGGGCTGAAGAGATGGCTTAATGGTTAAGCACACTGACTGCTCTTCCAGAGGACCCAGGTTCAATCCCCACCACCTACATGGCAGTTCACAACAGTATATAATGCCAGTTCCAGATGTCCGACACTCTTAGAGGCAAAATATCAATGCACATAAAAATAAATCATTAAAAAAAAAAAAAAAAAAGCACGATGGGCAGTGTTGGCACATGTCTGTGCTCCCAGCACTTGGGAGACAGAGGTAGAGGCAGGGGGAGTTCGAGGTCAGCCTGGTCTACAGAGCTAGTTCCAGGACAGACTCCAAAACCCTGTCTGGGGGAGAAAAAAAAAGGGGTGTATATTTCAGGGAAATGGGACAATGCACTTACTTCATACTTCTTTGGATTTAGCTTCTTGTTGGCTGGTGAGAAGTAGATGGTAGGAAAACTAGGAAAAAAAAAAAAAAAAAACAGTTCACCAATTTCAAGTCTGAGTGATCCTACCATACCTGTCCAATAGTGTTCTAAGGACCCCTTTTCTTTGTGGTTTCTAATCTGATCTAATGTTGCTTTCCATGAGTGCCTAAATTATACTCTATCGCTCTCAAAATTCTGAGGGAGTCGTGTTGGGGTCACCAATGGCAGAAACCTAAGAAATTCACCTCTCCCAAATATAGCCAGCAAGGAAATGGTTTATAGTGGCTACTCAAGTGGCTGAAGCTGGGTTAATCTGAATTCAGGAGTTTGAGGCCAGCCTAGGCAACCAAGTAAATTCCATCTCTAAATACAAACACCTTTTCATCAACATACCCTTTGACTTCATATGGAGAAGGCACATCGTTGGCTGTGGCATCCATCTTGGCTATAACAATATTTGGGTCTTTGCTGAGCTGTTAATACAAATGAAAAGAAGAAACGTCAACAACAAATAATTTAATCTGTACTGAAAAAGCTAAGGCACAGGTATTACCACACATCCCAGACAGGTCTGCACTAAAGTGTGAATCTGTCCTCAAATACACCTGCACATTCCTGCATACTCCTTCTACACCTGGATACAGAAACAGCACCGTCACAAGTTCCAGGCTAGCCAAAGTTGTAGTCACAACATCATTCAAAATACTTGATACCAAACCAGGCCTAGTGGCCCACGCCTTTCATCCTAGCATTTGGGGGCCAAAAGCAGATGGACCTCAGAGTTTGAAGCAAGCCTGGTAGAGCTTTCAGTATCAGGTACTTACTGATTTATGACTTAGAGAATTGTGAGAAGAACACAGACTTACTTCCTAACCTCCTAGCTTCTCTCTTATGAGCTGGTTCTTGCAGAAGACTATATGTAAGGCCAGGACTAGTCCTTCCATGTACGAGGCTGAGCACATGCTCAGGTACTGCTGGACTATACAATTAGACCCTGTCTCAAAACAAAACACTAAGACTACACATTGCCACCTTTAAATTCCATCTCTATCTATCTATCTATCTATCTATCTATCTATCTATCTATCTATCTATCTATCTGGTGTGGAGTTTATTGAGAGAAGAATAAAGGGGAAGGAAGAGAGAAAGAGGCAGAAAGACTTGCTTGCCTCCTTCAAAAGAACAGTGTGAAAAGCAACCACCTTTAAATTTACCTGGCTTGGATTACATTACAAAGAAAACCACCAAGTTTTTTTTCTTTTTAAATGAAGGACTATACAAATTCAGAAATATCAACAAAATCCAGAGGATCCCAGACATTTGTAACCATGCTGTAGAATGAGCCTGATTTGTGTTAAGCTGGCTATCTGTTAACTTCTTTATAGGCTAGGGGGCAGTCAAGAGCAAACGTGTAAACAATGGCTGGGAAAGAATATACCAGTACTTAGGAACTAGTTAAGTCTATGCTTAAAATACACATAAATTTCAGCTCAATCTTGTATTCATAGAGGGTTCAGACTTACTTTCTCTCCTAGTTCTTTATATTTGGGTTCCAGATTCTTACAGTGACCACACCAAGGAGCATAAAATTCAATCAGCACATCCTTATCTTCATTATTCACTATGTCATCAAAATTTTCTGCTACCACAACCTAGAACACAGAAGATTCTCTAGTCATAAGAAAAATAAATCCACAAGCAATTCACCTCAACTAGCATTACAAAATTTATACACCCGTAAACACGTTGTTATGTCCCATTAGCCAATTTATCCTCACATCTAACCCCATCAAACTATGTTTAGGAAGCCACAGGAAATAAAAACAAATGCTACCTAATAGTTTTCTTTCTTTTAAAAAACTTTACTCATAGGGCGGGAGAGATGGCTCAGTGGTTGAGAGCACTGATTGCTCTTCCAGAGGATCCGGATTCAATTCCTAGCTCAGAACTATCTGTAGCTACAGTCAGGGATCTGGGATCTGACACCCTTACAGACATACATGCAAACAAAATACCAATGCACATTAAAAAGAAAAAAAAAAAAAAACAACAAAAAACCCACAAAAAAAGAATCTTTACTCATTGTGTGTATATATTATAGATACGGACTTTATAGTTTATTCTCTTCTCTCCTTCCCACTTCCCACTGCTATGTGGGATCAAGGGATCAAACTGGTCCCTTGCATTAAGTGCTTTCCACATGGAGTCATCTCTTGGACCTGTAATGGTTCTTAGCTGGAGATGTAGCTCAGTGGTAGAATACTTACTTAATATGGGTTTGAGGCCCAGAATTAAAAACAAACATCAAATCAAAAACAAATTAAAGAAATGTCTGTAAAGTTTTTGGTCAGGTCTATCAGCGTTAAGATTTAGGAAGAGACTACTGAAGATAGGAACACACCTTGACAGGCCCATCGTTGGTCTCTGGGATAGGCTCAGACTTCAGGTATCTCTTTAGGTTTCCATCAAAGTAATCCTGCAGGAACCGTTCAAGAGCCTTGCCATCCCGCCTGCAAATGCAAAGAGAGGTCCTTACGGGAACTCATGATTCTTTTCTCCTGCTTCCATTACCCAAGTGCATGCTGGAATTACAACAGCATACCACCATTGCCCAGCTTCTACCCACTACACTTCTAATGAGGTGGCATTATGTAAGAATTCCAAGCTGCTACCCTTTCGTTAGTCTGCAGAAATTAAAATCTTTAATGTACCTATGATGGGAAGCCTGGAGACTTCTCCCTACCTCAATGTTACTCTTTCTAAGTTCTCAGTGTTTAGGCTTTAATGATTTTCTGAGTTGAATTCAATGCCAAGTAATAACTTACGAGAACTCTTCCTGCATTACAAACTTCTCTCCTTTAGCAGTTCTGATAGCCACAACAGGAACCTCTCCAGTAGCGCTTTCCAAACCAAAGTCAGACAGCTCATGGCTAAAGGTTTTACGGCTTGCTACAGCAAAGTTGAGTTTGTGTCCAGCATCAAGGAATTTCTTTGCCACCATCATCACCCTGTGAGAAATAAGTAAGAGAAATATTATTACCATGACTAAAACAGTGTGATGAAGCAGTTTTTCCTAAATTAAGAGACAGGTATCTCTATAGTCCTAGCAGTCCTGGAGCATGTAGAGCAGGCTGATCTCAAACTCACACAATGCTTGGATTAAAGGTGTGTATCATTTATGCCAGGCTAAGTCTTTGAAACTAAGAAGCAGGAAGCTAGAAAGCAAGAGTTCTATGACTCATCCATTCAGTCTTCTGGAATTAGCTTGAACTTATAATACCAGGCACTGATCACGTTACAATTTTGTGACTTGGTAACCTTCCCTCTTAAGAGGTGGTGGCACCTAACCCATTTGATAGGAATTTTCCTACACTATTAACTGTAAAATCTATTGTATGAATAAAAACTGACCTGAAAAGAACATTTATAATGTTGAAACACACCCAGAAAATTTATTAAGAAGTGGGAACAGTGTTTTAAGTTTACTGTACTGATCAGGCTCACACCTTTCAATATATACCCTGGAGTCAGTGTAGTACAGTAAAGCACACAGAATTCACATCCATAGTGTATGTTAGTTGTCCTATGGCTTTAAATGCAGTGTTAAATGCTATGTGCTCCTTTCCACTTTCCCCCTTTTCTTTTAAAGACAGAATCGTAGGCTGTCCAGACTAGTCAAAAATTCAGTATGTAGTATGGATAACTTAAACTTGACTGTCCTGTCAATCTCCTAAATGCTTGGACTGTACAGTCCTGTGCTATTGCACCCAGTTGTGTTTTGTTTATTTTTCTCTTTTTTAAATGTGTTGCTGGAACGGGTGAGATGGCTCAGTCTGATAATCTGAGTTTGATTCCCAAGAAGCACATGGTAGGAGAACAGAA